GAATGCTTCATTATGTGTGCATGAGTCTAAACTTTGACCGTGTAAATTGTTCTGTTGTTTGCCATACATCAAACCAAAGCTTGTTATGTAGTGCACTCTTATGACTACTGGGTTTGAGTATGCCCCCCTGCATCTTTGAGGAAGTTGCTACTGACTGCTCTTCTAGAGGAGGAACTTAAAAAGAGGTAGGGATTTATGAAGCTTTTACAATGCTTGCTACTACTTTCATAGAGCTTTTCATTGCTGTTTGTTAAGCTTTTATCCTTTGGTTAGCAAAACGTCCTGCTGCTTGTCATTGAAAACAGTTGGGTTTTTCTTGGGGGAGGTTGGGGGGAGGATGTTTGTTTTGGTTTTATCCTGTAACCCCAGTTTTGGAAAAGAAGGTTCAGCTTTGGAAAGGAGGGTTTTTATGAAAGGTATAATGCTTAAAATAAAGGTGCTTCCATTTTGGCAGAAAACATCAAAAGCTTAGTCTAAATGTTGAGGCACGGCTGCTGTCGTTCTCAGCTACTATCAGTATTGATACCTGACTGGAGATACATGGCCTGAGAAGGAACTTACTACTCTCTGTCCTTTGTTATTCCAGAATAACAATGGTGATACGTGGATAGCTGGTGCAATTTGTAGTAATTACTGGAGTACGTTACAGCTGTAAAAGATACTGGAGGTACACTTGCATCTGGATTGCAAAACATAGTCATGCCTGTTGAATCTAGCAGTGGGCAAGAGTTAACTCTGAGTGGAATGCTTTGCTTTTCAAGTGTGCAACAAGGCTTCTGGCAGTTCTGTGCTGCTGAAGATGTAGGCTGCCCTTCTGCTCTGTGTCTTTTCTCAGCCCTAGAGCCTAGAGGGAATATGTTGTAAAGCTTGGGTATTCTTCCTCAGTTAAATATAGACCCATTGAGCACTCGTATCAGTGTTGCATAGCCAGGTAATTGTTAATTAAGAGCTTCTACTTTTCTTCCCACCTCCAGTTGTCACTGTTAATCATTTTCTCTAAAAATAAACTGAGAATCCCTTTGTTATATTTTGTTATTTTTGCATTTCAGTGTGTGGTAAGCACAAAACTTTGATACAGCTACTGGAGTACCATTCAGTCATGCAGCTCGGGTGGATTTGTTGTGTTTCCAGTGACAGTTCTGTTCCGTCACTGCAGTGTGGTTTGCAGTTTCTGCTTTCCGAGCTCAATCGTGAGATTTTATTTTATTCTCTGAAGTGTAAATGTGTATTTATTTTTTTTTAATTAAAGCAAAGGAAATGAGTAAGAAAAGGAATGCATGAGTCTTAGAGCAAAAATTCCAATAGAAGCATAATAATTTATAATTCAGTCCAGCAGAGCAGCAGTGGCTGCTAAAGCTATGCCTCTTCTCTTGTTACTGCTCACCCTATTGATTTAAAAAACTCATAAAATAACTGGCCTGGATTTTTTTTTCCCCTTAACAAATTTCTAGATCTAAAGATCATCAGTTTCTTTTGCGACCAAATACCTGTTTGTATGCAGGCAGAATAACACGTTTTCTGTTAATAGATCACAAGAGCTTTATGAAATGATCTGTTCACCTTGAAACATCAAGGTAATTGTGTTGTGCATTATGTAATCCCCAGAGTTATTATCACTGTCCAAGTCAGAGCTCGTGTTTTAGATGTTGCCTGAAGGAGGGTTCCTCCAAGAGCACTGGGCAGGACTTGTTCTATAAAATGATAGATGACAATTCTTCAGTTTCATTTCTCTAATGAATATATTTAATACTAAAAATGCAGTATCACTGAAACAGCAAGCACCCCCAAAGTTTTCATGTGGTCTAATGAGATTATTGTACTAATCTTCATGTTTAAAGGGTAATATGACACTCTGCATAAGAAAAGATAGTTATTGTCATTGCATCTCTCTGTGAAGAATATGGTTTTGAGTGTGCATCAGGAAACATGGAGTTTGACTTCTTGCTGTGAGGTTCTTTAGCTGTGATGGCTGTAGTAGGTGCTAAAGCTTTGGTGGAAATTGAAGAGGGGCCCTGAAAATCAAGATGGTCAATTTTAGATGGAAAGGATGACCTTATCAGATCTTTTCTGTACATGAAATGTATGGCATCCCCTCATGGCAGGGTGGTTGAGACCATGTGTTGCAATAGTGCTGTACAAGCACTTCCACATTAGCCCCAAAATTAAGCAGATTAAAATGACATGAGGAATAGAGACTTCTAGCATATAATACTGTTTTCTGGTTTTCATCTTTAGGATCTCCATGCTTTGTTTTAGAACCTATATTGCTTTTTCTATCTGGATTGTAGTGGATTTGCTTTGTAGCTTATGAACTTTTCTCATTTCTTTTTCTCCCACTTTTTTCATTAAATAGGCACAGTCAGACTGTTTATTTGTCTTATTTCCCTCTCTTATGAATAATAATAATAATAATAATATTTGTATTATTATTTATATAAGATTCAGAAGACTACACATGTGTTTTGTCAATAACATCTTTGTTCCACTGGCTGGTGAGTAACAACAGAGTCTTAGAATGCATGAGGTAGAATAGTCTGATGAACTTTTATCTGGATATTCTGAGCTCGGATATATAGTCACAACATCTGCTCCCAGAAAATGAATGAGCAACAAAGAGATCCTTCTTCAGTACATTTCCATGCAGTAAGCTGGAGGATCAAGTACTGTGAAGTGGTTTTAGACTTCAGGTTTTGTAATTGTAATCCCTGTGTCTGGACTTTACGCTCAAAATTCACATGTGCACATTTGGACAACCAGAGTATTTGTGAATAAGAATGAATATTGTATAACTGAGGATTCCTAGGGCAGCAGTCTCTTTTCTCCTTCACCCAGGTGTTGTGCAGTAGGTATTGCAATGTTGTGGGTGACTCTCTGCTGCCAGGCAATGTTTCTGGAACCTGGAGCTACATTGTTCCTTTGGTGGAACTTGTTCTGGGTGTTCTTCCCAGTTGCTCTGCAAGCATGCAGCTGATACAAGCTGTAACATTCTGTGGGAGGTGTTTCCATACCACCCTGTCTGTGGTAAGCTCATCCCAGACCTTCTCTTCTTTTTTCAGCCAGCCTTTTTTTCCTCCTGTGACATCAGGCAACTGAAAGCAGTAATTTCAAAAAATCAGGCCACTCAGATTTCTATATATAGCAGCTCTCAGATCCCAAGAAAACCAGCACTCTCATCTAGTCTGTTTTTAGCTGTTAGTATTTGTAAATTATTATTAGCAAGGTTAGTCTTAAGTAGAACTGTGCCTTTTTTCCCTCTCACTTGCTATTTCTAGCTTTTTTTTCCTTTTTGGGGGTGTTTTTGTCTCAAAAATAATTGTCTGTATGTTGTTCCCTTCGCTTTTTTTTTTTTTTTTTCCTCCCCCTTCATACTAATGATGAATTGACCTTCAGCAAAGGGAGTTGTGGTCATTACATTACTGAGTAGCACCTGACTTGCATCAAAATCAGACTGGTTGTGATGGCAGGCAGGGAGACTTGTTCAGGCTTTAGTGTTCTGTGCACGCCACTCTTCGTGAAATAAACATGAGGATTTCCATAGATTGAAGAGATTTTTTTTGTAATGAAACCAATGACTTTTTTTATTGACAGCACAGAGGGAGATGTGGGAGGATTAAAGAAAGAGTCGCTAATAGGATAAGTAGGAAAGGAAGAATATAATTACGTGGTAGATGTTAGGACAGTTTCTGAAGTTACCAGCTTCTGCTTTGAATGTTTGCTTATCTAATGGCCTTGTTTGTCTTTTCATATTTGGCAGAAAACTAGTTTTTACTGAACCTTTTTCTGGAAAATTCATGAATATAGTTATTTGTTTGTTTTTTTGACATCTCCAAAGGTGTTACCTGAATGTTGACAGATGCAGAAGTACAAAGCATACAGCGTATGTTCCACCACTGGCAAGTAGTGGAACAGGTGACACCTATCTGAGAGTTGAGCCATCTTCTTCATGCTGGCCTGATGAAAAGCAAGGCATTAAAAATATTCCTTTGTAACATGGGATCATTGTGTGGAGAAAACTGTCATATTCATATTCTTCATAATTTATGCTGCCAATTGGAAAAATAGTGCTTTCCATATGCAGTGTACAGTACAATTAGCTTTCACGAGGAGAGCAGAGAACATACTTGAGGATCTTGCATTTAGCATGGGCTCTTTGATTTGCTACGTGCTTCTTAATTCGCTTGTGTATATAAGTTGTGTTCACTTGCAAGAGATTGAAATGAGAAAGGAAGGATTTTAGAACAGTAGTTTAATACTTGGAATCTCCTTTACTTCTCAGTGACAGGCTTCCCGTGTCCTGGCTCTGTAGCTGTGCCACAAAGTGAGGACAGCTCCCAGCCCTCACACCGCATGGGAAATGCACGTCCCTGTATCTGTGGAGCTCTGGGGAGGTGAAGGGGATCAGCCTGACAGTCTGACAAGGAATTACAGTTAGGAAATCTGAGATCTTCAGTTAAAATGTATTTGTGGTCAAAACTATTAGTAAAAAGTTGCAGCTGATTTAGGTGACTGTCTTTTAGAATGTCTGAAAGCTTAACAGTGTGTCGGTGAATGATGCCTGAAAGAAGGTTAGCATTGCAAGCTGGCTGGCTGTCTTTAGGACAATTCATTGCAGCTCTGTGTTTGAATTTTTCCGAATGGACCCCCACATGCAGTGCAGTGTCACTAAAAATACACTTTGGAAACTCTCATTGAAAGTGCTACCACCACACAGTTATTTCTCAGGTACTGTGCAGCCTCCTGTCAAAAGATGCTTGTGTTTTTTTTTCATTGGTCATTCACAGTGTGTAAGTAAAAACATTTTCTGTGAGTTTTTTAGGTAATCTGCCTTGTCAAAAGGCAGAGCAGAGTTGTTTTGGTTTGTTTTTGTTTTCCACTAAGCAATGGCTTTGCTACTTCGTGAAACTGTACTACTAATCTGTGTGTAGACAACTACAAGACTGCATTCTTATGACCAAAAGGAGCAGTCTTATGTGGTGTATCAGTAAAATTCTCTCTTTCAGGTCACTGTCATGAGAAGAGTCCAGAAGATAATCATGACAAGGAGAAATACTTTGATGACCACCATGAGTCAGTCACAGAAATGGCAGAAGGACACTCTGGAAGAGGTACAGAAGATACAGAAATCCTTACTCAGCGTTCAGTAAGAGATCCCTCCATCTTGAGACTGGAAAGTAAGTCAGCTTTAAAATTCAGTACTGACAGATGAATGATTTTCTAGACTTTTTGGAAGAGCTGTCTTCCTTCCTCCATGGAGCTACATTATTCCCTTCTGCCTGTAAAGTGGAAAGTGATCCTTAAGACTTACTTTGTTGTATTTACTGTTCTTCTCCAAGCCTGGCATGAAAATATGTAAAATCAAAAAGTGAAATCAAAGGTTAGGATGCTTTCCAAGGGAAAGGATATAGTCTGCATTCTCCAGTCCCTTTCTCCATATGCAGCATGGAGTGAGTATTTAGTTTGTGCAAGTGAAAGAGTCAGATCGCAGGGAAAAAAGAAACAAACGAACCTTTTTTTTTTTTTTTTTTAATAAATCTTATGGATGAAGCTAGGAAAAAATGAGGTTATGGTATTCCCTTTTAGACACTGTTACTGCAGAAAGCAATGATTCAGAAGGAGTGGAGAGTTTAGAAGATGATCAGATGTCTGAAGAGATGCTGGCTTTGGTGGATGAGTTTGAAAACTCATGGCCTCAAGAAGCTTTTGAAGGGGCGCTGGAGGTAAAAGGTCGTCGAATGGACTTACAGGGCATCCGTGTCCTAAAGAAGGGAGCTCAGGATGGCCTGGCAAGCTCCTGTTTTGGAGACTGTGGTGATGATGATGAAGCCGAATGGGTAAGTTTGGATAGTGTGTAAAAATCTTGTACCAACTTATTGTTACAGAGGGAAAGACTAAGACAGTTTCTGGGAACTTCCCCCGTAAGTTACACAGAGCTGGTTTGCGGTTTATGTGAAATGAACTACTAGTTTCAGTCCATTCTAAAGGAAAGGCTTCCGCTAAAACTGACATCATTGATTATCAACAGCAGGTGCTTAGGTGTTGAATGTTGCTGAGTTCCTCCACACTACTTGTACAGAGTTACAAAGGAGACAAGATTTTAACCAAATGTTCTAGTTAGCATGAAGATAACAAAAATACATGTAGTCATCATGTTGCCAACAAAATATGTAGTGAGAAATGTGTTTCAGCTCTTCAGCAGTCAAATTGGTTTTCTCTTAGGTTAGAGGTTGAAGTTGTATGTTGTTTGCATAGTGTGATGCATTGAAAATGCAGGCTCAGAGAATGAATTGAGATGGGGAGGAGATGAGATCTCATCATAACATCTTTGAAATTGAATCCTTGGGCTAAAACAGGTAGTGTATTGGAGCAGCTAATGCTTGTGATGTTTCGTAATGTTAATTTTGCCAATATTGTCTTTTTGGTAGATCACTTTTCAGGTCAAACGTTTAAAGAAACCAAAAGCTGATAGCTTGGATCTCCAGGAGCCAAATGGGAGAAATGGAGAAGAAGGGACTAATGGAGAAAACGAAAACTTCTACCAAACTGCCTTGGAGATCAGTGGACCAAAGATACCTTCTCCTGGACCAATAGGTAACTTGCCACTTTGAGAGAAAGCAAATCCCTTGCAGTTTTCAATTAGTATACAATCATAGAATGGTTTGGTTTGGAAGAGACCTTTAAGGTCATCTAGTTCCAACTCCCTGCTGTAGGCAGGGACACCTCCCTCTAGACTATGGTTTATTTCATGGCAACTTTTATTTTACACTGGTTTATTACTATAAATATGTACCACAAAGATGACATAGTGAAATATAACTTCTGGGTGAGAATGTGGAAAAACAACCGATCTCTTCCATGAATACCTTCTACATGAAGTACAGCATAACTTCCTCCACTGTATGAAAACTTTCTAGATAATACCCAGAACTTCTGGAGATAAAGTGATAAAAGTGGAGAGTAAAAGACAGTGATAATGTCAATAGAAGTATAAATGGAGTGGGGAGTTAGTGTGTTTTTTGTTTTTTTTTTTTTTTGTTAAAGCTGAATAAAAAGAGAAGTTGTTGTTTGTTTTTTTTTAACTGAATGGGAGGTATTGGGACAGATATTGGGTAAAAGCTTGAATTTATTATTGACTAAACATAACTTACAGAATTTGAAAACAAAACACAGAAAATTTGGTCTAGTAGAAATAAATAGAACTTAGTGTTCTGCTGTGATTGATTTGATAATATTAGAAGGGAAGATTTAGATGCTGTCTTCCAGAAGAGCAGAGCCAGTGAAGAGCACAGTCTTGCACTAATGTGGTTGAGGAGGTTTGCAGAGAGAGAGAGGTGGAGTTTTTGCTACTTAAGGAACAAGTATTGTAGAGAGATCTATTAAGATAGTGCAAGTTAGTTCCATCAATGCATTCATTCAGACAGAAATCATCAGCACTTGATTGCTTTGATGAAAATTTGGAATTTCTAGAGCTTATTAATGCCAAGGAAGAGAGGATGAATAATTGTTCCCCATACGTTTCATCTTACTATGATTTCAATTAATGTAAAATTTTAATGTTATAGGCATGCAAAAATGTGTTCTCTACATTCTAGTCGTTGACAATTTGATGACCTAGAAAGTAGTTCACATTTTTGAAGGCTTTTATGTGAAGTCTTCAGCAAGCTTATAAAGTTATAAGCAATTAACAAACACAAGCTATTAAATTAAATAAGGAGGATTGCATGACAACAAGTAACTATTTGTGAGGATGCACCTTTCCTTTTCTCAGTGTGTGTTCTCTCCCTGAGCTACTTTCCTGGCTTTATTACACAGCATCCCTTAATTGTAAAGTCATTAACTTTCTCACACTCCTGAGAGGCAAGGTCTGCTGACATCCTCTTTACAAGAACTACATTATCAAAAGTTTAAATAAGGCCTTGGAGGTTCACTTAGGGAGTTCCAAGCAGAGCAGGGAAATGACTGTCCTCTGTCTGACTGCTACTCTGATAACTGACAACAGGTGCTCTGTCCCTGTGTAACGTTTTCATGCCTTTCAGTATCTTTTCCTGTTCATGCTGGTAGTAACTCTAAATCAGGTACTGCACAGTGCCAGTGACAAAAAATGATCTTTCCTCTCTGGAATTTCCTCAAGTTTTTCAAAGTTGATTTTCCTTTAATCAGAATATTTTACAAAAGACAGTGTTGCAGACCTTATCATCATTTTGCAAAACTGTGATGAAGCACTTAAACCTTGATGGGAAATAGATCTTGTATCCAAGAAGTCAAAATTTTAGGTAACCAGAAATAGGTACTAGAATACTGCATATGTAGCTGATATGATAGACCTTCATGTTTGTGAATTTGGCCTCTCACTGTGCAAATTCAAGGCTATGATGAATCGTTTTTCTCTTCAAAACAGTTCAGATGATTTTGATGAGAGAAACATGTTTCCTAGCAGTTACACAAGTTGGATTTGTAGGTTTGGTACAAGATCCATCAGATGTGAGGGGAAGATTTCAGTGGATTTTTTGATCAAATGTGAAGATCAGATTCCTAAAATAAAGTGAATTATTTATCCTTTTCATTCCTTGGTTAACTCCTTTCCAAAATGAGAGGTTATAAGTGTAATTGCTAGTTTCAGAAATGTTTCTGTCTTGAGTGTGAATGCAATAAAAGCTTTATTCATGGATAAGAAATGGCAATATTTTTCATCTCGGATTGTCAGAAGATGGAGTAATCAGCTTTTATTAGTTCTTACTATAGCTGTACATCATAAATGATAACTCACTTAAAAACTTTAAGGAGTTAGAGATATTGCTTGTGAACAAGAATGACGATTGTTTTTAATCTGCAGCTATTGAAAAACTCTAACTTATAATTTGTATTTTAAAACTTCGCCTTCAAATCTATCTGCCATAGCATCCACTTCTGTCTTTGGATCCCACAAGTTCCATTCAGTATGTTTAGATATGGAATTGTTCTTAAAGAAATCTGATGGCAACACTGTGACTTTTGTGTTGTAGGTATTTGCTGGTGTATTTTGTAATTCATTGTACTAAGTCTTTCTGCTTGAAAATAATCCCTTTTATTATTTCTTTTTTTTTTTTTAACTTCTCTCCAGGAAAGAAGCATGACTATCGTAGCCTTGGGTGGCCGAGTCCTGATGAATGTTTGAAACTCCGTAGGGTAGAGCTCACAACTGTGGCCAGCACATGGCTCGCTGTTTCTGCTAAAAACATTGAGTAAGCATCTTAAATATGGACCTTAAGCCACTCACACAAAGCAAGGTAGTTGTAAGGCCTCGAGTGTACGTTAACTAAAGATTTTATTGTTCATTAAAGTAAGAAGGAACTATCAGGATTACGAAGACATTTGAAAACATGATGTGGTATTTAACAGTAGACTTGCAAAGAAGAATGCAACTTCAGACTGAAGATCCAGTTTCTCTTGCTTCTTAAGCTATTCAAAGGAGATTCTTCTCTGCAGTTTACCTTCACTAGGGAACTTTGTAATGATTCTTCTCTCTTCTTCTGACTGATTCAATTTATTACCTTTGTAGCATTACAGAACACATTGATTTTGCAACACAGCTGCAAGAACCAGCCATGGAGCCCCTTTGTAACCCCAATCTGCCAGCTAGTATGCATACCTTGGACCACCTGCAAGGTGTCTCCAGTCGAGCAAGCCTGCATTACACTGGAGAGAGTCAGCTTAAAGAGGTATGCCACAGTTGAAGGCTGTCATACAAAAACATCTATACCATGGCAGATTCAAGGTACATTTAGTGCCCTGTCTCCCAAAGTGCCCTGCAGTACATGAACACCTGAATAAGACTGTAAGAATGATGCAAGATGAAAGTGATTTTTACCAGAATATTTACCAGACTGTTTTCCCAACCTTTTGTGATCTGAGCTGAGGGAAATACTAAAACACTATTGCTGTCTTGGCGTTTATCACTCTAGATAGATGAGTTAGTAGAAGAAAAATCAAAAGAGCATACACAAACTTCTAGAATTCTCAGTATTCAATGGCATGGAGTTAAAAGATTCTATGATGATAGTACTAACTCTAGTTATACAGTGATGTTTAGGTTCAAACAAGTCAGTGATTTGCAAAATGCTGGGTAAAAAGAGTAGCCAGCAGGTGAAGGATATCTTTTCTCAGTTTCCATCCTTTAAGTACTTGTCCTTTCTCTTTCACAGGTGCTACAGAATCTTGGCAAAGACCAGTACTCACCACAGTCATTAGAACAAGTTGGTACTCGAATAGCCAAAGCTCTGGAAAAGGTACGTATGAATGTGAGAAGAGTAATGTCTGGACATACTGCTTGGCTTAGCAGTCAGTCCAGTCTCAAATCATCTGTCTGAAATAAGGAATGAATTTGTACTTGGACTTGAGATTTGTGTCTATTCAGCATCTATAATGCCCTCACAGGCTTTTACTTGAGCTCGATATCCTTTGCTTACATTTGGAAGTCCCACTGTCAAGTGTTTTGCCCATCATTCTACAAAAACCTAAGCTTGTAAAATTTCCCACTATTTCCAACCCTGTTGTGAGCAGTATTGTTGGCTGCCAATGCATATTATATACAGGAAGGATGCAGAGCTGTTGGAGTGGGTCCAGAGGAGGGCCGTGAAGATGATCAAGGGTCTGGAGCACCTCCTGTGAAGAAAAGCTGGGAGCGCTGCACTTATTTAGCTTGGAGAAGAGAAGGCTCTGAGAAGACCTCATTGCAGCCTTCCAGTATGTGAAGGGAGCTAACAAGCTCCCAACTTTTTATACTGTCTGATAGTGATGGGATGTGGGGAAATAGCTTCAAACAAAAAGAGAGAAGATTTAGGTTAGATGTTAGGAGGAAAAATAGGTGGTGAGGTGCTGGAGTGGGTTGCACAGGAAAGCTATGGGTGCCCCATCTCTGGGAGGCGTATGAGGCCAGATTGGATGGGGCCCTGGGCAGCCTAATTTAGTGGGTGGCAACCCTGGCCATAGCAGGGAGGATTGAAACTGGATGATCTTTAAGGTTTCCTCCAACCTAAGCTATTCTATGATATTAAACCATTTTAATAATTCTCAGTCTTTCTTCAGATGCTACATTCACTTGGAGTTTAAGGAAAGTCAGAGTTAACCCATGGCTCAGCTCTTCCAATTGCACTTTTGGCAGGCAGAGAGTTCCTCTCTTTCCTACCTATTTGTTTTTTCCCTATGCAGCGTTGAGCTGAAGTGTCAGATGCATTCAGGCAGTGGTATAGCACCATACACAAGGCTGCCCTTTGTGTTCCCCTGAGAAAACTAAGCTTCCTAGCTAGATCAAGGCTACTGAGGGAGGGCCTCACCTGGAGGGATGCTTAGGGACATAATTTTCCCATGATATACAACGCAGATCAGGATGCAGTGATTGCTGTATGCTTCCAGTGTTGTCAGGAAGATATCTCAAACTAAAACACGAAAGAGGGTTCTAACATAAGTTTGGTGCCCCTGGCCTATTCTACTGAAGGCCCTCTAAGGAAGTTCCTGTGGTTTGAAACTGAAGTCAGTAAGCCTTTATTGTTCCCAGAAAGTGAAGATATTACTCTTCAGCTTGCGTAGTAAGCTTAGTTTCTTTTGACTTCAGGTTTGCTAAGTCTTGTCTTACATGCTACACTTGACCCTGCAAACAGCAAGCTTTGTCCAAATACACAGAAAATTTACTACTAACAGAAGAGAAACAGAATTCTTCATAAGGCTAGCTGTGATGAAAATAAAGCACAGTTCTTCTGTCTACCAATCTCATTCATTATTCACAAGAGTTAATCAAATCAAGATGACTACTTAATTAATTGCACATGTGAGCATAAACATTAACTTAATATATCTGAGTCCATTGAATTCAAGCACATGGTATTTTCCTTTCTAACATGTGGCATGGGAGTCAGCCAACTGGAGGCAACAAACTTGGTCAGCTGTTCAGGCTTTTGCTTTGAGTTGCATCCCAGAGCATCCTTTCTCCTTCTGGTGGCTACAGTGAGCCCAAAGAGTCTGATCAGCCATCTTAGCTGGTGAAAATTGTTGATTTATATATGGTAATGTATATACACATCTAGGTGCTCAGCACTTGACAGCTGGTTAGAAGTTATTGTGACTGCTGAAGCTGTTGTTACTGTACAAAAGATTAAGAAAATGATGTTGTGCTTGGAATTTGTGTTTTATTTGGCAGTCTCATTGATGAGTCTATTGCTTATATGTTATTAGATAAATTCTTATTACGCTTTGGAATACTTGAATGCTATTTTTAAGTGAAGCATCCTCTATCCCAATATATTGAGTAAATTTGAAGAGTGAAAGACAGGAAGATTGTTAACAACAGGTGTATGACTCATTTTTGTGTTCTCTTGCAGAATCAGACTTCATGGGTCCTCTCTAGCATGGCAGCTCTCTACTGGAGGGTGAAGGGCCAAGGAAAGAAGGCGATTGATTGTTTACGGCAAGCATTACACTATGCACCCCATCACATGAAGGTGTGCACATCTGCCTGCTACACAGATAAAATGATGTTGTCCTTGTGAGATAGCTGCTTAGTTTTCACTTACAATAGTTAAAACTAGAATTATGCATATCAGGAGTCCGTATACGAAGTTACGTACATCAGCTAGTTGTGGGGAAATTTCAAGACTTTCACTACCTGTGATTGTGGGCTGCAAAAGAGCAATTTCCTGCATTTCAGTGGGTTTAACACTTCTCTGCTGGGCGCTACTGGCTTAAACTTCCTTCTGCTATGTAGGACTCTGAATCTTTGTCAGCCTTGTCTTGTACAAGTCTTTGACCCTAAAATATGATTGTGCTTTTAAAGTAGGGGGAAGAGATGAGATCTGAAAGGATAATGTAAATGCTGAAATCATAAATGTTTTGGCTGACTAGTGCCTGATTTTGGGTGGCATTTTTATCCAAAAAAGGTAGTGTTTTGGACATAGCCCACTGTTTCAGTTGACTGCAATGCTTTGCACCCTTAGCACTGCCCCATGGGATGCTGAATATTATGTCTGTTCTTAGACACCAGCTTTACCCTTCCAAATTGGTAAATGCAGTATAGGCCCCTAACTCAGCATTGTGGATTTCACTTTCAAATTATGCAACGTTTAACTCTTGGTCTCAAGTTGTTCTCTGAAAATCAGGAGACAAAGTAGTTTACGCTGTCAGGTTATTATTAAGAAAATTTATCCATTAACCAGAGAAAGACCTCAGCTAAGAAATATTGATCTCTTCCTCACATCATTACTATCTCTTGTCTCCTATAGTTCTATCTTTATATCATCGTCCTTTTAAAATGAGGTTGGAACCAAGGCCCAACACAATAAACATGTCTTTCTATTATGGTGTAGTAGTGCTGACTGTGTTCTGATACCATGATATAAAGTTGACTGGGACTGGCTTACACCAAATTTCTACTTAGTTTTTGTCCTGGCTCCAGAGAAAACTCTGAGTCTTGTTTGTAAAGATACAGCTGCAACTTGGAATTAGTGATTTAGCGCTGGATGAATAGTGATCTATTATTTTGTTTAATCCTCCTTTTTGGCCTTGTGTTCCATCTCACCTTTTCTCATCCAAATAAAAAGTATTTTTTTTCCTCTGGGTTTCTTTTGTGATTCTAGCTTCCATAGTATCTGCATGGCATCAAGGAGGAAGGGATCAAGTTGCATCCTAAATTTTTAGTTATTCTATTGAATGCATCTGCAGATCACCGCTGAGTAGTATTTTGTCCTTCCTAGGTGTGAAGTCCAGCTCCCTGAGAGCTTGTTACAGCTGTCAGGGCTCCATGGTTTTGTCAGTCAGACACAGTCTGGAAATTCAGGAAATAAAGACATTGGTGACTACCTGAAAAGATTTTGTTTATAGCTGTTAGCATCTTACAGGAAATCTGTGTCAGGGATGGGATAGAAAACAGTGTGTGAATGCCATTAATGTTTAACTCTTTTTTTTTCACTTCCCTACTTTATCCATATTCCTTTTGTGCAACTGCTGAAGGAGAGGGATCAAAGAGCTTCTCTTGTCTCTCAGAGTACATCTTATCTTTGTGGAAACAGTAACAGCATCTTAAAAATAAACTATGTGCTTGTATATTTAATTTGAGCTAATTTTTGAGTTATTTGTCTATGCAAAAGCAATGTTTGCTCATTTTTGTGAGCAGATATGTGTATATGAGTTTTTGTTCATAGCTCAGGGTCAAGTGCCTTTTTTCTGGTAAGTGTAACTCATCACTTTCAAAGTGACCAGGTGGTGGAGCCTTCTGTCAGTCTTCTCGCTCCTGAAACAATTTCAGTGGAAAGAACCTCATTGTTGATCACTTTCTCTTCTCTTAAAGGATGTACCACTAATAAGCCTGGCAAACATCTTCCACAACGCCAGACTTTGGAATGATGCTATCATTGTGGCTACCATGGCAGTGGAAATAGCACCGCACTTCGTGGTTAATCATTTCACACTGGCGAATGTCTATGTAGCAATGGTGAGCATGTTTGTTACTCTGATGTGTCTTGTTTATGACACATGGAATTCATAGTTCCACAAATAATTTTGGAGAAGTAACATTCATGAAATAGGGGAAGTGTCAGTAAGAAAATATTTTTTTAATATACTTTTTGGAGCATCAAAGCTTTTTATTACTCATTTAATACATGAAGGCCAGTGTTGTTACAGGATGGCTTCAGGATGCTGCCCTACAAAGCTTTGCTAAGGCAACACCAAACAATTGATTTTGACTGGTTTCCATTCCAGCTAAACACACAATGTTTTTGTTACACTGGGAAAGTAATGATAAACTGAGTTTCCGTCCTGAAGGGCTTAGTTTAATGTAGTTAGTAAAACCCAGTTTGCAGTTGCAATAAAGAAACAAAAGAGATGTTTGATTTCACTATTTGGATTATCAACACCCAAAATAATTCAGATTGAATTCAAAGTTCTCCATACTTCCTTTGTATTCCAATCTGTAATTCAGCGTTCGCTATTTCACGTGAATGCAAAATGTTCATTTCTTTTTCCTTACTAAAGCTGGATTGGTTCTTGGGTGCTTATTTTTCTTTAACAGGACCAGTACATTTCATGGGTAAGAGAGGCACCATTAAACTGGAACATAGTTGATACGTATATTCATGTCAAAAGTATTTTCAATGACACGTGTTCTATCTATCCCTGCCAGTATTTAGCACTTGTCATAGATCTGTCTGTAATGGTTTGTTCTTCTGGTTGGGGGGGATCATGCTTATAGTGGGATAATTTTGAGAGGTAATGGTGTACTGTGGTTATCGGGGTTGAAAAGAGTTGAAATGTGTGGTACTGTTGAACACACAGTAGAAACACACTGAAGAAAGGAATGACTTTGTTCTATTAAGCTATTGCTTCTGACAGTAGTTTGAAAGAAATGAAGTTTTATGCTTGAGTTGCCAGTGTCTTTTTCAAGTGAGCACAGTGCCTAAGGATGACTTTATTCTCGTGGATCTGAGAGATTTCTTAGTGAAGCCACATATTCATTACATGAAATGGTTAGCAGCAGGACAAAACATATCTTCTGGATCAAATTATGCTGACATAAAAGTGAATTTATTTATTTTGTATTGAGGAATTTATCTTTAAGAACTGAGTCTGCCCAACAGATTGTTTAGAAAAAAAAATCAGAGTAATCAAAAGTGTAGCATTATAGAGGCCAACGTTCCTTAATTTGCAACGCTTTTCATCACATTGCCTTGAAAAGTGGAAACTGGCCTTGATAAAGATTGAGAACTCTGGATGGATGCTATAGAAGAAATCTAAATGATTGTCAAAGTAATACCAGATCTCAGCAGATTTGAATATAAATGATTGCTTCTAAAAATGGAAAAATCTGCTTTCTGTCATTTCTGTTTGTTGGTACTACCATAAAGTAATATGGGATTTTCATTGTAAGTCCTCTTGACACTGTATGGAAATACACTTTTTTAAAAATCAAGGCTTTACAACTCCAACATTGATGTAGTTAGTGTTTATAATGTGGCTAGAAGTGAGCATTACCTGAAGTGTACAAACAAATTACTGAGAAAAAGGAACTTGACTAAAGCTGAGCTAATGCTTAGAGTGAGATCCTGGGGAGTTTCAAGTAGGAAGCAGCAGTCTGCCCGAAGTTCTGTCGTCTTTTATGTATAAAGAAAATTGAGAGTCTAGAAGTGCTGTGCCACTTGCTGTCTGCTTTCACGTGGGGATGTTAGTTTAGCTCTTTACCAGTAGTTCATCAATAGCCTCGCCATAGGAAATACTGAATATGCTGTTTAAGAGGAAAGGTGCCAAAATCCAACATTGGTTTTATAGCTCTTTTGGGGATTCCCTTTAGTAGATTCAGAGAAAAAAAAAAAAAAGAAAGAAAAGAAAAATCATCCACAGTCTCAAAAATATAGAAGCAGCTCAGTTCTTATAAGGAGAAAAGAGGAGGAAAAACACGCAGAAAGTGGCTGAAAAGAAACGCAGAATCATTTGAGCTGTAAGAGGCCTTTAAAAGTCATCTGACCCAACTCCCCTGCAGCGAACAGGGATACCAGCAGCTAGATCATGTTGTCCAGCCTTACCTTGGGTGTTACCAGGGACAGGGCATCTACCACCTCTGTGGGCAACCTGTTCCAGTGCTTTGCTGCCATTTAAAAAAAAAAAAAGAAAAGGTGGTTATATTCAGTCTAAATCTTTGGTTTTGTGTTTGTTTGTTTTTAACTATTTTACAGCAAGAGTACTAAGATTGATTATTAAAAAAAAAAAAAGGCAAGAGAATTGGTCGGTTAATGTTCTGTAGTTATTTGAATCAAGAGAATACTGGAGTTATCTGGAGGAGGGAAAAAAAGAATAAGAAAGTTAGTGTTCACTGTTTTTAGAATCTGACTTTATGCAATCTTCTGTTCTTTTTTTATAGGAAGAGTTTGAAAAGGCGATGAAATGGTATGAGTCAACATTAAAACTTCAGCCGGAGTTTGCCCCAGCAAAGAATCGAATCCACACCATTCAGTGTCATTTACTTATGAAAAAAGAGCGACGGTCTCCATAGAGATTGGTGTTTCTTCTCTTTTTTCCTTCTTTTTTTTTAAAAGCCATTCTTCACTACTCTGCTTTTAAGTGTGCTAAGATAAATTGATGAATCAAAATTTTTAACAAGACTTTTGAAAAGAGATGGGATTTGGATCAAGGGTTCTTTTATCTTTTCTCAGATATAGAGGCATCTTTGGAAAACGTTTCACAGACAATAATTTTTAAACATCCATGTAAATATTAAACCAAGGAAGTTCCATGAGTCCATAACCACTTGTACCAGGACCCAGGCACCGTTAGTTTCTCCTTAATGCTCAGATTGGCATTCAGCGTCCAAAATGACTTGCTTCATGTCTTATAATCTAGGTCAATAGAAATGCAAAGCACACACCCATGCCAGATAGTAAGAAGAGATAATCAGCAGTTCATCCATGTGAAACTCCTGCTTTGTCCAGTCCTGTTTACTCCATGCAACATTGCCTGCTTTTTGGGAAGGAGAGGCACAGAATTTCAAACATTTATTTAGAAAACAAAATAAAAAGGAGTTAGGAACATCTAGCATTTTTTGAATTATTTCTTTCTGGTGGAGATGAGAGAATGAAGGGTGGGGAACAGCAGGACTCTGAAGTCAGTGTTTTTTTAATCTTATTTGCAGGGAAAAAGAAAAAGAAAAAAAAAGAGTAGAAATCCCAATAAGATGTTTTATATTTGTCTGTATATTCATAGCCCTCTGCCTCCCTGAATGGTTGTTTTACTGATTCTTTGTTCACTGTATTTCTAGTCATTTCAGAGTAAGGTGCAAGTTTCTGCTCCCTCTGAGCCATACTTTCAGCAGCTGAGGAGGAGCAGGGAGGCATTGTCAAGGTATCATGAGCAAATGAGTCAGGTGGAGGATTTCCAAATCAGTTCTCTCTTTGTTTGGTGGAGGACGTGATTCTCCATACATCATTGTTGAATTAACAAGGGCACATATTTGAAATAAATTGTTTATGAACAAAACATGGCTTCTCCTCTAATCTGGTGTCACGCGCCATTTGAAGGAAACTAGAGTTGGGGAACTGCTGCATCTGTTTTGGAGCACGCAGAGCTGGGAGTTGACACAGCCTTTAACATTCTTAGATAATAGTTTGCTACGTATCCATAGAAAACTTCTCACCCCTCTTTCAGTGACAGAAATTTAGAGCCAAAATGGCACTGGTGGAACCGATGGACATCAATGTAATTTTTGTAATTTACTGTAGCTTTTCAGTTCATAAAATGATCCCTGAATATTTTTATATATAATTGAAGATGAGTAGTTCTAATGCAAATGTTTATCTCTGTTTTACTGCAAGTAATTTTTTTTATTAATCTAGAAAGCCTCACAGAGGTATGAGGAAGTACTGCTGTTGGGTAGATTTTTATTAAAAATGTGTGTGTTGAATTTCTGATTGTCATCTGAGCCAACAGCAAGTCAAATTGTATTCCTTTCCTAAGGCTGTTTGGAAGCCTGATAACACTGACTGGAGATCTGTCTGCGTAAGTTCTATTATTGAGAGAGTCAGATCACTTCCAGGAAAGTCTAGTACGACACCATGGGGATCATGGACTGGGAGAAAGAACTGGGGAGGCTTCTCACCTGGAGTTTTGGAAGAAGCCAGTAAGGTAGGTGCATGTTAAAGGAAAGAAGTTCCATTCAAGTTAGGAAAAAAATGTAATATGCAAAAAGTTTTCTTACCTGAAAGATCCAGCTAACTGCTTAATGCAGTGGGTCATATGGTTGAATCAAGTGATTGCCACACACACTGAAGTTTCTGCTGTGTCAGTCTCACTGGTGATGAGCAGTGTCAGGATTTAAATAAAGAGTAAGGCTGGTCTGTAAGAACCTAAAGCAGCTGTATGTGGGGCACAAGTGAGCAGTACTGGCTTTGTCAAAGGTGGAATGAAAGTAGACCTTTTCTGAATCACGTAGCATTGCTCGTAGACTGCACTAATTCACGCTTAAAATTAGGCATTAATACCCCTGTCAGTTTACATCTTGCTTACAGCAGTTGGGTTGGTTGGTTGGTATTTTCTTTAGAAGTGTAGCAACGAGCATATACTATACTTTTGTATATAGACATCATACAAAAGGTAGGCAGGTGCCCTGCATTTTGTGTGGTGATCATACCATAAATTGGTGTTGCCACCAAGGAGATAGCAAGCTATTGCCACCAAGGAGATAGCAAGCTATCTTCTTCATCTGTTTGCATTTCCAAAGAATTCATACCTTGTAATGGTTCTTCAGAACTGCAGTAGTCTGACTTTGTGTATTTTGTTCTGAATATTGCCTAATCCTTACCTTACTCATAAAACATCCATGTACAGCTGTTTATTTGTTACTCAGCTGTTCCTTGCTGTATCTGCCGTGCAACTAATTATGAAATAGCCCCTGCTTCCCTGTTAACTGTCTTTTCACAAATTTTAGGTAATTCTTTGAAGTGTTGTAATGGTTTCCATCAGCTGCTTACAGTGCATTAAATTGATGCAGAGAAGAAAACAATTTACTCAACCATAAGCTTGGGCTGATGCCAGCAGTAAGGCATGTGTCCTAAAGATTCCACTTTAGGCTCTACTGGGGAGCACCGACCCCCATCTTGAAAAATTCAGATGGTCTTCTTTCTCATTTCTGTCTCTTAAACCCCGTGGCAAAAATATGAAGGATGGTGATTTTGAATGTTCTGGTTGCATTCAAGTGTTAGGGAAAAACTAATGATGCCCATCTTACAAGGAGAAAACAAGTTAGGCAGCGTGTTGGGAGGGCAATAATGAATTTGATGGAGCGAGGTGTGGTTCTTTGCAGGATGAGCTAGCTGCTTAAGGATGAGCTCTTCTTTCATTTAATCCATTTTAAAATAAGCTGTCTAAGCTTGTTGTGTGCATCTTCAGCAGATGGAGAAGGTAATAATCTCCAGAGGTTGATCCCACCCTCCCTGTGACAAGCAGTCTCTTCGGTCAGCCTGTTCCTTCTCTTGACTGCTCTGTACCTTTGACCAACTACCACATGATTTCTAATGGCGATGCTTAATAACACATTTCACATTGACTAGCTCTGCTAAACGTATCACCTAAGTTGTCTAATTTAGAGATGGCAAAAACCATGGGTAAAGAGCAAAATCCTTTTCCACCAAAAAAAAAAAAAA